CGTTTGACTAGAAAGAGAAACAGAAACAGAAACTTTTTTATTCAATATAGATTATAAATAATACTTATTGAAAGTCATTCTTTTGTTTGATTACCACTGGTTCGGAAAAAACCTCTGTCCTGGGAAGAACCAGCAAGAAACCCAGCGGGACTTTTTTTTTTAAATAACAGCTTACAATCATGATGTTACACAAATTAACAACACAACAAATTAGAAATAGCTTGGTAGCGATCACCTCATTTCCAGGGGTTATTATCATCCATAAATTCCTTAATATTATAATAACCCTTTTTATACAAACTTAGTTTAATAAAGTTTTTGAACTTTGAACAGGCCAAACTTTGTATATTTTCTGGAATTTTGTTGTAAAAGCGTATACATCGCCCCAAGAATGAATTACTGACTCGATGGAGTCGAGTAACTGGTACTACTAGCTTGTGTCTGTTCCTAGTATTTACAGAATGAATATCACTTATTTTTATAAAACTACTTTTATTTTTGTGTACGTACATTAAATTTTCATAAATGTATTGAGAGGCCAAAGTTAATATATTAATTTCCTTAAATTTTTGTCGCAGCGACTCTTTAGGCTTTAAATCATAAATTGCTCTTATGGCCCTCTTCTGCAAAACAAATATAATTTCTGTGTCTACTATGCGTGTGTGCCTGTGTGCCTGTGTGTGTACGTGCGCGTATCATACCAACAAATTTATTTTAAAGTTAAATATGATAAAATATCAGTAAATTAATTTTATACAAATTCATAGATTAGAATAGAATAATTTTTATTCAATATTGATTATACTACACAATACTAATTGAAAGTCATTTTTTACTTTTACCACTGGTTCGCAAACACCTCTGTCCTGGGAAGAACCAGATAAAAACCCAGCGGGACTTTTTTTTGAAAAAGCATAATTTAAAATATATTATTTTATACAATAGTTATGAAAACATTTAGAAAGAGCATGGTAGTGATCACCTCGTTCCCAGGGGTTATAATCACTCATGTACTCTTTAGTAGTATAATAATCCTTACTACACAATTTTTACTTAATTAATAATTTGAGACATTTGATTGAAAAGATGTACAAATTTTCTGTGACTTAATATACTATACATAATATAATAAAGCGGAAGAACTTTTTGTTTTTTTTATTTGTTTAAGCACGCCAATCTCTGAAATTACTAGTTAGATTTGAAAAATTTTGTATATTAGAGCCAGATTTATGAGGAACATTTATATTTTACACGTGGTAGTGACATGCTGCAGCTACATTTCTGGTATAGCTGTAGCACGAATGGGTCGGCTCGACCAGGGAAGGACCACGCTCTTACAGAATACCAGCGTAAAATAGCAGCTCGATGCTGCTGTGTTTCCTATGGTGAGTGTAAAGAATCGGAGACCCTTTTTAATGGAAATAAGGCATTCCATCTTGTTCCTCACGGGTGACAACGCATCTGCATTTTGATTCGTAATCGAGGATGGATGTAGATGTCTATGGGCCACAGCAACCACTTACCATCAGGTGGACTGTGTGCTCGTTTGTCACCCTTATCCTTTAAAAAAAAAGAAAAGTGTAGGTTATCTAGGATTACACTACACCTCTTGGCTAGGCTTAAATTTTGAAAGCCGAAATGACTTATTTACGTGAGCTTAGTTATACGTAAATACAATGATCTAAAAAATATAGATCTTTACTAGGTTAAAAAAGTGCTATATGCCTTTATCTTATATATTAGCCACAATACGGTATTTTATGACAAAGATTATTGAAAATCGAAAAGTGATTTATGAGAGTTATAATTAGTCATGGCGTTTTAAGCCTTACGAATGCAAGTTAAGTAAATAAAAAAATGACTTTCAATAAGTATTATGTAACAATAAAAATTGAATAAAAATAATTCTATTCTATTTCTTCTATTGTAGTTACTTCATCATCAAGACAATTTTGTAAAGACAAACTTTGCTCTTTATAGCATGTTATTTGGACGCATAGTTCAAAAGAGAATGAAAAATTTAAATTACTCAACACTCGGCTCGGTGCGCGAACTACGTATAAACCCTAACTGCCTGATTACAACCGAAAGAAACAAGCAGTGAACCATTCTTTATGCGAGGTAAGTTTAAACATTTTAGCTAAAACATACTCAAATAATTTTAATCAAAATTAGTGGAGTTATTTTATCTATTGGCATGTGTACGTTATAGAGCGACGTAAAATTTTATCCACTCTCCATCCCCCTCTCCGTTGGGCGTCTCCCCCCTGCGACCCACAAAGTGTACCGAAGCGCGGTTTTTTTTTCAGCTTTAAAGAAAACCGTACACAATACATGAAAAGTGTGTAGGTACGAAATAATACTTGATAAATTTGCATCAACTTCTTATAATCTATAAATAAAAAGCGATATCATTTATAGTTGCCGCGTAATATGCCACGAAATCTGAACATTTTTATATCATTTACTGATTTTTTTTCTCTAAATTTAGTTTACTGCGAAGATATGTATGACTAAATTAGATAATAGAATATGTTCCTTATAAAGAGGTACAATTTATTTCTAAACTCTTTCATTACACATTATTTTGCTATTTTGAAAATTTTGTTGATTGGGCCATTTAAAAACTATGCAAACTATAAATATTTGTATTTTAGCAAAAAAAAAATTGGCAAAATTAATGGAGTACTTTTATCATTATTTCCTTTCTTGTTACATTCACTCATTTTGACGGACAGAAAAACAATTGAAAAATGGTGGGATAGTGTTTTTACATTTTATTTTTCTTTTTCTTAATTTTCTTTATATATTAATATTAAAACCAACTTCATACAAACAGTACAAGTGCAGTACAAACCAAATACGAATAAACTTTTTCCCCGACCTATTATATATTTTAGGGAGTATACTTAAAGGTATAAGGAGACGTGGTAGGTCAGAGGCTAAGTGCTAGCTGTAAATTTCACAGTACTCGAGCAACCCGGGTTCGATCCCCACAGCCGCCACTGACATTGTTAATTGCAATTTTAACTGCTAATTAACCACGTGCTCAGTGGTGAATGAAAAGGTCGTAAAACCTGGTGAGAAACTTAATGAGATTAAAAAATATTTCCAAGCTAGGTGCGAACCGCCAACACGCATTTGGGCAGCGCGGCAGACATTTTTTTAGACATTTGCAATTCCTGAACTAAGGAACAGACAAAAATGACTCGACTCCTGTGTGGAGTCGAGTTATTTCTTGTATGTTCCTAGTATATCACTTATATTAATAAAACTACTTATATTTTAGTGTACACTAATTTCCAAAATGTATTAAGAGGCCAAATTTAATATATTAATTTCCTTAAATTTTTGGTTTAGAGACTCTTTTGTCATCAGAACCAACAGCATTTTGCAACATTATAAAGTTCCTAAATATTAAAATTTTCTACGGCCACTTACAGGTCCTTACTTTACACAAAAAAATCTTATATCATATCGCTACAACTGCGTGGACGTACTCGTAATATATAAATAACATTTTAAAGATATTAACGAGTATTTATTGGTACGCATTTTACAAAACAATAGTCTAGTAGCTTAAGTGTGTATGTGCGTGCGGGCGAATGTACGTGCGTGCGTGTTTGCGTGCGTGCGTGTTTGCGTGCGTGCGTCCGTGTTTGAGTGCGTGCTTGCGTGCGTGCGTACTTGCGTGAGTGCGAGCCTGAGTGCAGGCGTGCATGCGTGCATGCGTGCGTGCGTGCGTGCATTAGTGCGTGCGTGCGTGCTTGCGTGCGTGCGGGCGAGCGTGCGTGCATGCATGTGTGCGTGCGTGCATTAGTGCGTGCGTGCGTGCTTGCGTGCGTGCTTGCGTGCATGCGAGCGAGCGTGCGTGCATGCATGTGTGCGTGCGTACTTGCAATTTAAAATTAAACATTTTGTACAGCCGACTTCAATGTGAGTTATTAAGAATAACTCAAAAAACTATTAGTCTGACCTTGATCAAATTCATACGAGACCACACGAGAAGTACCAGCTTTGAAATAAAAAAATCATCGAAATCGGTTCACCCAGTAAAAGTAATAAGGTAACACACATAAAAAAAAACATACAGTCGAATTGAGTACCGTCTCCTTTTCGAAAGTCGGCATAAAACAAAATGTAGTGAGTATTGAAGAAACTACAACTCAAATAAACTACTATAAGAAAACCACTTTCAATGATAGAGAATTTTACGTAAGTCAACAAAAGCAAACGAAAACTTCGGAGTGAAATTTCTTTACCTTACTGCCGATGTAACTCGTATGATTGAAGTGAATTTCTAAACATACAATCGCTGAATTCAGCGAGCGTACAAATTAATTTTATTTTCATTGCTACTACTTGACATATTGCTTGATTTTTAACAACCAGAAATATTGTTAATTGTATTACCTTCTTTGTGTATTAAAAATCAGAGTAACCAACATAGCCCAATGGATTAATTATATAAAATTAGTAAGCTGAAGTGGCAATGGGCGGGTATAGCTTGGATAACCGACAACCAATCAGGAAGAAAGATCCTAGAGTGACAGCCTCGTACCGGTCAGTGAAGAGTAGGGAATCGCCACACTAGATGGGACACAGGAAATCGATGGGTGCAGGTGACACACGACTGTACTTTGTGGCATTTCTTGGGGGAGGTCTATGTTCAGCAGTGGACTTGTGACGGGCTGTGATGATGGTGACGATGATGATGTTTCTATAGTATAAGTATTCTATTAACTCTATTTAATATTACTGATACTATCGACGATACTTATAATAAGTGCCGTCTTTAAGGCAGGGCCCGCAGGGCCCTGGCCCGAGGCCCCGAGGTAGGCAGGGGCCCCACAATTCTGAAAATTTTCGATATACAACAACAAATTTTATAACATAATAAGAAAAATATCAAATCACACACTTGGTAAAATAGAAACAAGATTTAGAAAATTTGTTTAAAAATTTATTTTTGCACTAAAATAACAGTAATTATATACAGCTTAAAAAACTTTTTTTCTCGATTTCTTCGCAGCAAAATTAGATATGAGTTCATCAAAATCAATCGATTTTAATAAGTCCGATTCTATACTCATTAAACTTAGATGATTCAATCGTGACTGTGACATTGTGCTTCGATGATCGGATTTTATCAACTTTAATCTAGAAAATGATCGTTCACCAGCACAATTGGTGATCATTAGGGTAAGGAATATTCGGAGACTTATTTCAATATTTGGGAATGTAGACGTCAGAAATTCTTTCTTCAGTTGCAAGTATAGATCAGGAATAAATAATTCTTCGTTCTTTCGTGTATCACGAAGATAATGTTTATAATGTAAACATTCTGATATTAAATTTTCTGCAGAAATGTCTTGATCATATTTTCTGGCAAGCTTTTCGCAGCATTCTTTTATTCCTTCGTATGTCATGTTTGGTAGAGCAGTAAAAAACTTGAAGTTATCATTCACCGTTTCGTAAGCAGTTTTTCTGGTTTTCAAATTGGAACAAAGTGAATCGATTATCGGATAAAAAATCTCTATTTTGAGCTTTTCTCTTTCTCCAGTAAATTGTGTATGTTCACTCTCTCCTTCAAAGCGAGTAAGTTTTACGCTTCTTCTTCGATTTCTTGGCTCAGATGTAGATTCACTTTCGCAGATATCAGTAAAGCTTTTTGCTTTTTCTAAAAACTCATCGAATTTAACCCTGATATCCAATAAATACAATTCTAAGGAATTTAAAAGACTGCATGCTATATACAAATCCATATTTTCTTTTTGTAAATTTTTAGATGTATCATTAATACGTGTCAAGATTTCGTGCCATACCACAGTTATAAAGACATTTTCAAATTTTGTAATTTGCTTTAAAATGGTCTTAGCTTCAAGTCTAGTCTCGTTAGACTGCGTATCATCCTTTGATAAATCATCTAGAGCTTTCGTAATATCTGTATGACCTGTGAAAAGAGCGATGATTGCATCAGCTCGGGCTGACCATCGAGTAGCGGATAAAGATTTAACGACTTTTTTTTTCGTTCCTAAATATGACAATAGTTTTTGCCATCTATAAGTCGATCCTGATAAAAATGTGTACAAATTTTGTACGATATAGAAATACTTAACGACTGCATTAACACATTCAGCTGCCTTAACGCCGACTAAATTTAACGAGTGCCCGGCACAAGGAATATAATCAGCATACTTATTGATTTCCCTTATCCTGGTTTGCAGTCCTGAATAGCGTCCAGACATATTCGATGCGTTGTCATAAGATTGACCTCTACAGTCATTTATATCAATATCATTATCTTTAAAAAAATTGACTACAACCTCTGTTAAATATTCGGCATTATGACCTTCTATAGGAACGAACATTAAAAAACGTTCGATAGGCCCCTGATCGGTAACGTAGCGCACGGTGAACGTTAATTGATCTAGATGAGTGATGTCCGGCGTAGAATCCACAGAAAAAGAATAATATTTTGCCTTCTTCAACTCACTTATAATGCAAGCAAGAACTTTTTCCCCCATAAGGCCTATAAATTCCTCACAAATATTAGCTGATAAGTATGATGTTACTCCATGTCCTTTATTTCCGTAGGTATTAATGTGCTCTTTAAGGAAAGGGTCATATTCGCTCAGTAATTCTAAAATACCTAAGTAATTGCCATTTTGACTAGATCCGAATCGTTCGTTCTCCCCTCGAAAAGCGAGACCTCGTGAAGCAAGAAACTTTATAGTGTCAGTTATTCGACGTAATACTTGAATCCAATAATTTTTCTCATTTTTTTGTTGAATCGTTAATGCATTTTCTAAACTACCAGTTTCTCTTCTCCGTTTAGAATAAATAGTTAAAGTTTGTTTATGAGCTTTGCTTTGCTCATGCTCCGTAATTCGCTCTGGGTGTTTCCAATCATTAAATCCGTAAAATGTAAATTGATCTTTTTCAGATGAAAAAAGTCGACATACAAAGCAATATATACGTCCAGTTGATGGCGAATACGATAACCACTCACGCTCTACTATTTCATTATTTTGTAGTTTCAATTGAAATAATGATTTGTTTAGAGTTCTCACTTTTTGTTTATCTCCTTCTTGGTAAATCCGTGCAGATTTTGAGAAATCTTTATCCTTATTGCTGCATAAACCTGGATTTTTTTGCAACCAGTATAATCGTAACTTCTCGTTGATTTCGCCCCATAACGCAATATCAGTCGAATAACTTTCAATTTTTTCTGACGTGCTTCTCAATGCTGCCTCCTCTATTAAAATAAAATATATTTTTGTAAATCGCTTTTAATTGAAAAAAATATTTAAAATTATTCAGCTTTTTTAGAATCTAAATATTTACAATTTGAAACTCTTTATTTACCTTCTGTTCTATGATTTATAAGAACTTGTGTAGCTACTGATAATTCCGACTGTTCTGAAGGATTCAAATCGACTGATTCGTTTTGAATAACATTTTCCTGTAAATCAGCGGTACCTTTTGGCGTTTCATCATTTTTGCCTAATAAATAAAATGCAATGATCTTATTATCATACTGTTAGCACGGTTTGTTTCATAAATTAATTTCATAAAAATGATATTAAATCGACTTTTCATAAAAAAACTTTTGCTACATGCGAACAACAATGAGGTTATAGGACTCAATTAATGAATCACTCTTAATTCAAATAATATATAGTATTACTTACTAGTAATGTCATCTTGTTTTAAAAATCCAGTAATTTTTGGTAACTTGTCTAATTTCTTTTGTTCTTCTTTCGCTTTTCGTTTTTTTGCAGCACCACTTTCATAAACACGATTCATGATTTTGATGTACTTCAAATGATTCGATAAACAATACTAAATTAACTGTTGCTACATCGCGTGAAAATCTGGTAATGAACCTGCTGGCTGTTTCACATGTCGAAACACGGACGTTGACTATTCATTTTCTCACCAAAAACAAAAGCAAGCTTAAACAAGTTTCTTTCAAAACAATCGCGCTTCTGCTTGCGCGCAAGAGCGCGCATGCGTAAGAATCCGAATGAAGATTTTGGCGCGTTAGTTTGAATATTGTAATTGAGAAAACGTTTACATGGCATTATAAACATTACATTTAATCGTTTGTTTAAAGAAATTAAAATATACGAAAATTGTAAATTGTAAGAAATTAAATGTATGCATGGCTAAAATTACGGGTATTTAAAACAAAGCAAATAAGTTAATTGTAAAGTAAAAATGAATTAAGAAATAAGTTGAAATGCCAAGTGTTCGTTTGAGAAGCCATTGAGAACTGAGGTCGATCCGGAACGACGAAATATTGTAGTCCGATCTAATACAGCGGGGACAGTTTACGGCACTTCCTCGAAGAAAAACCGATAGCCCTTGTTTATTAAACAAGATTCGGCGCAGCATCGCGCTGTAGTTATAGACTTGGTATGCAGTGGCTCGCTAACCAATGCTGTTATAGGCTATGATGTCACGGATGACGTCACTTTCATATATTTGTATATGAATAAATATAAGTATTGTTCTTTGTATAGATTATAATATATGGTTTTCATTCAATTTTATTTAAATTAGAATTGGTGGGGTATTAGTTTTTTAGATTCAAAAAATTTATTTATTGAACTCTCATATGTGGGGTGTTAAGAGACGGGGTTACGATTTAGCCTATTGCGTTATTGTAAACTGAAAAATGATAAAGTTAAAATTTAAGGATTTTCCATCCCTTACATAGGCCCCAGCCAGTACCTTGGCCCATAGCCTCGTTGATCCTAAAGATGGCACTGACTATCGTATGGACGTAACACGTCCGTACTAGAGTGTACGGACGTGTTTCGTCCATACGTAGTAAGCCATAAATGCTAGTGTTAGTAGTGATTCACAACAGTAGTCGAATGTAAATTCGAACACACTACTTTTCGCACTTGTAGGCTGCATGCACCCTTACCATTAGTCTACTGTAACACAACAACTGTCTATAGAAGTTTAATGTTTTTATAGTGAATGGCAATGGTAGGTATAGTGAGGGACGACGAGGCGGTCGCCCGGAACATCAGTGTCAAAAGGGACCTACAAGTCCGTGTAGCGCCTCGACCCTCAAATTAATCTTAGGTTATAACCGATCCGGGTTAGAGTCCACCTTCCATCATAGATCTAACCGGAGCGCATGGATGACTACAGCCGGCTATGTATAGCACTGACAACATCTTGAACATGTTAGAAATGTGTGTAGTAGATAAATTGGACACACCAATTGTGAGATATTGGAGAACATTTACCTACTGTACTACGGGTATCACTACTACTCTCATCTTATCATTCTTAGGTAATTTTACCTACATATACGTAGGCTAGGTAGGCTATATATATATATAAGAAACAAACGTAGTCGTATCTGTCGTCCGCAGGAAACCGCCTAAATTGATTTGTTATAAGTTCGGACAAGTTAGATTGTCTGGCTGAACTTGTTAACTTACTTAAGACAACTGCTAGTTGCGAGACCTAAACTAAAATCAAAGACAAATAAGTAAATTGTTTCGTTTGTCTTAGGATATCACTGCAAAAAAAATATTTCAGTGCATTTGTATCTACATTGAAACTAATATATTTACGTTTCACATGATGTATATTGTGTATTATAATTATAATTTAATACAATCTCTATATTTTTACGTGTAGAGCCATGCTGCAGCTATATTAATTGTATGGTTGTAGCATGAATTGGTCGGCTCAACCGGGGAAGGATCACGCTCTCACAAAATACCTGCATAAAGTAGCAGCTTAATGTGTTTCCTATGGTGAGTGTAGAAAACCAGAGACCTATTTAACTTGAAAAGAGACATTCTGTCTTACTCCTCACGGCTGATAACGCATCTGCATTTTAATTCGCAAACGAAGATAGTCGAAGAAGCGAACGATGTCTATGGGCCACAACAACCACTTACTATCATCAGGTGGCTTGTGTGCTTGTTTGTCAGCCTAATTCTATAATAAAAAAAAATATAAAAAGCAATTGCTATCCGTTAGTCTTGCAAAAACTCTAAAATTGCTGCACCGATTTTAATGAATTTTTAGTGTGTGTGAGTGGGTCCTTGATGGGTTTGATTCACAATTGGACCCGGTATGTGGCGCTTGAGATACAAAAATCACCTTTGGGAAGCCGAGGTGGCTTTCTTGTTTAATATAAAATTTAAAATTGCCTTCTTCTATTTATTGTTCATTGATTTATTTATCTTTATACAAGTAGGAAGTCGGTGGACATAGGTGGGCCAAGATAGTGTTTATAAGTTTTCCCGGGGAGAGGCCAATATTCAGCAGAGAACTGGTATTTATAGATTTATTTGTATTATACAAATAAAGGTTAATCATTATTTTCCATGTAAAACAGCGCAATAAATGAAAACTTCATTACTTAATTAATTCGTTGATAAAAATAATTTACATTAAAAAAATTGCTTCCTAAAAAGTATTTCTCAAGAACCCAAAAATAATTTTTGCAAGTTGGTGAAGTTAAGAAGTTTTTACATCAAACGTGCAGACCTACGACTGACAGCTTTTTTTTATTTTATTTACTGAATATAAAACATCAATTTACGCAAGATTAAATATTAGTAAAACAATTAGTTAGCATATTGGTAACCATATGTATCTTGATGTTTAATACTTTTATTTATAACTTTAAAACAACACAGTACGAAACATAACTCACCATTAAAGTTCGCATGCAACTCTACGTAATGCTGAAATAATGCGGGTGCAGAAACTTGTTCTAATTACCGTACACAAATATTTATGACTTTCCAAATATCACTATTATACGAATATTAAATTTGACCAAAATATTTTTGTCTAGTAAAAATTCTAGTAACTGTTATCACAGCTATAACACGTCAACATTAAAGCATTTACATAACTAATGATATTTTAAATGCATTGCGTACTAGGAAATTTTAAAGAAAAAAGTAATAAAAGCTCAGAGGACACACAAGTGTTAAAAGCGTGTGCTATTAGCAATAAAATAAAGACCGTTAAAAATAAAGTTAAAATGACGTAGAGTATAATTAATAGCGAAACCGGTAAGGACCAATCACGTAACACTAATTATGAATTGAAAATTAATAATAAATTGACTAGATCAAATCAACAAGTCGCAGCGGTGTTTGAGAAATATTTTACTGATATATACTTATTTTGACAACAAAGTCATTGAATACTTCTCCATCTATCACCGATTCATTTCTCAAACAGAATGTTAATACGTACCTGTTTAAAAACTTAGACCCGACATTTTATTGGACCAACTTAGTCAGCTATGGTCAATCAAGGCCAATATATATATATTTTTTAGATAAATGTAAAAATAGCGTAGATTAATTTTGCCAATTAATTTTACTATGCTTTATATTAATAAAATATCATGAAGATCAAGTGAGCGCTATAGAAACAACGATTGCAAGACGTTGTAGATAAATAAAATGTTTACAAAAATTATCAATTACCTTTTAGTGGCAGTGCATGAATATCCATATGATCTCTAGGATGCAGTAAGAGACTTGGAGAAAAGGGTTATTTTTAAATAACCGTGAACGTCGTTCCGGTTACGAAAAAGTCACAATGATAAATCAAATTTTTAGATTTAGCTTTGTTAGAAATTAGAAGGACTTATAACGTGACTTTATATATGCATTGTATATTTAGTTAATGTGTCAACATGACCCATATGTCACAATGTAAAATAATCGAGATTCATATCCGCTGGAGTTGGAAGAAGAAATAGACAATTCGCGCTGGAATATTAAACGATTATCCGAGACCAGAAGTGAGGGGGTGGACATGGTAATCCTCGAGTCCGACAACTTGATCTATCACTGGGAGGGCGACCATCTGTCCCAAGGAGGTGTCGGATTTATCGCCCACAAGTCTCTTGTGGGCGATAAATCCGACCTTACACCCATAATCACCAAACGCCCTCGCAACCGATAGATCAGAGGCAGGTGCCTAATATATTCCACAATCTTGTGTCTTCATCATCATCACCTTTACAGCCCTTCACAGGTCCACTGCTGAACATAGGCCTCCTTCTGGAAGAAAGAGTTCATTATAAAGAGTCCCTCTTTCTCCATGAAGTCAGCAAGCTGCTGGCCCCTTGGGTTCCGTTACCCTATTCCAAATTTCCCTACCTTCAGTTCACTGTTCTCTTTTGTACCTAGTTTTGCATTAAGTCTCCCATTAACATCGTATAGTAAGTTTTGGATTAATGTATGGCTCTAGAGATATCCTCATACATTTCCTCCACCTCCTCATCGGGATGTGCCAAGGTTGGTGCGTAAACCTGTATAACCTTCCACAAAAACCCACTATACGGTGTTAGTGGGAAACTTCAACGCACGAACAGGAACAAGGGAGAACGGCGATCTGAGGGTAGGAAAATTTGGAATAACAAACAACGGAACCCAAGGGGCCAGTAGCTGGCCGAATTCATGCAGAAAGAGAGAATCTTTGAAAAATGAGATTAACTTCATTATGAAGACCAGACGACAACTGTTCAGTGATGTCTCAGTGATCGCAAGGGTGAAAACTGGCAGCGATTACCGAATGGTAAGAGCCACACTGAACCAAAACGTTAAGTTGGAGAGGTATCGTCTAATGAAGTCAACGTTACGTCCCCCTCGTGCTATAGTCCAAAGCCCCGAATGCTTTCAGCTCTAAGCTCTAGATCTTCAGAACTGGTGCCTAGAACACTGCATTGAAGTGGACGATATGAATGATAAGCTCGTGGATACTGTCCATGCGGTCGGAGCTAAGGTCTGCAAGACCCG